GCGGCGGGGGCGAGGGGGGGTGGGGGGTCTCGGCTGGTGCCCGCGGATGTACGAACGGCTGCGTTACAGCAGGTTGATGGGTTACCGCTCCCCGCCGAGCCGGGGCAGCCGGCCGCGCCTGCACTCGCGGGGTGGGGGAAAACCCACTGAGAGATCCCTTTGCAGCACTGGCACGTCCCCCCGTGAGCTACAGGCCACAGCGCTGGCCACGGTCCCCTCCGGTGACGCGGAGGACATGGTGCCATATGGCTGAGCAGGATGCTGAGGCCCCCCCATCATCTGGGGGGCTGCGCTGACCCTGTCCCTCCACGCTGCGGGCCCACGGGACGGCTGTACCCAGCCAGCGGCACCCAAGCGTTGCTCCACCTCACGCCATCCCAGGTCCAAAAGCCACCGCGGGCTCCTTCACGAGACAGGCTCCAGCTGGGGCAGCACGGCAGGACTAGCTGCTCCGGCTCGCCCTGCCAGACCTCAGCTTATCTCGCCCCAGAAGAGCTGCATCTTTGTTGCTCTGCATCTTTATTTCCACGTACCTTCATTGCAGCTGTGTTGACAGGAGCTCAAGCAAAAACAGGTTATCCCGTGGGTGAGGTGGTGAATACAGAGCTCTGCCTCTGAAAGCTGCCAGTGCTTTTGGGTGCTTGAAAGGGGATCTGGTCTTTTCGGTGACGGTGAGCTGCTGGGTTTCCTCGGGGTTGTGGAGCTGGGGAGTGTTTGGTGCTTCTGAAAAATAGGCTAGAGGGGTCCGAAAGTGGGTCTTCTGAGATGGAAAAGTGACTTTAGAAAACCAAAGGCTGCAGCAGAGACGCGGATCAGCCCCTGCCCGTGCCAGGAACAGGGAGCCTGCGCTGAATGCGAATGGGCCGGGGTGGCTGCACTGCAAGTTAATGGGTGACCTTGGCAGGAGAGGGATGGGAGCCTGCACCCGCTCCCGCAGCCAGCTGGAGACTGGGGCTGCTCCCGGGGAGCCAAAGAGGATTAATATTCCCGTGAATTTTAGCCTCTTGCTCCCAGGGAGCTGCGACTGCTTTGCAAAGGGCTGCAGCTACTGTGGGAAATGTGCTCGGAGCAGGAAGGGGAATCCTGCAGGGCCACTGAGCCAGGCAGTGCCAGCACCGGGACCGGAGCCTGGATGGCCGTTTGCAGCCTGGCAAATGCCAGAAGGCTGTGAGCAGGCAGGGAAATTGCCCATCCTTCGGGGAGCACAAGGGAGCTGAGCGATCGCAGTCTGGAGGAGCTCCCACGGGCAGGACAAGAGACTTTTAAAGCAAAGGCAAATGACAGCCAGTGGCACGCAGCCTGCCCGACTGGTCCCTCACACGTCCCTTCTGGGGGGACGCACCTCCAGCGCTCGGCTCTGCGCTGGCAGGGAGAGCGGCTCCCCAAAGCGCCCGCCTGCCATCCCCCCCGATGCCTGGTCCGGGCTCTCCTGTCCCTGTTTTTGAGGGCAGGGGCAGGCAGGGAGCATCCCTGTATCCCTTTTGCAGGCCAGCAGGGAAGAGCAATAGCAGGACTGCCTGGAGGCGGCGAGGGAGGGCAGGAAGGAAGAGGGGACAAGGATGGGGAGCAGAGGAGCCGGACCTGTTGGGGCTGCCTGGCTCCTTAGCATGGGAGGCGCATACCACTGTCATTGTCTGGGGCTAATTACAGGGACTTGCCTACAGCCCAGACAGCTGCCAGCCGGAGTAATCACATCAAACCGGGCTGGGCTGGGCTCTCCAGCGCAGCCCCATGGATTCACAGCAGCCAGGAGCCCTGCCCTCTCTGCTTTCTCCCAGCATCACCCCACTGGGCTCCCTGCTGAGGGCCCTGGGACGAGGTGCCCCGTGCACCCTGCCGCGGGGCTGGGGCTGCGCAGGGACCACCAGCTCTGCTGAGTCCCCGGAGCATCGGAGGGGTCTAATTACAGCAAAGCCCCAACAGATTAGACAAATGCAGCTTGGAGGCTTAATAAGCCAAGCACAGCCCGGGACTGCCATCCGCCTCCCGCGGGAAGGGAAAAGCAGGGACACGTGTTACCCAAACAAGGCAGCAGCAGTGCTGGGGCCAGTCACCGAGCCCACGGAGGTCCCCACTCAGCAGCCCCAGGGACACGTGCGATCCTCCTGCACAGCTCTAGAGCCAAGGCTGGTTACTGGCCCAACACCAGTGGTGGTACAGTGGTCCTTCACCAAGTCAGCAAGGCCAGGGCTCTCTTTGGGCCGCAGGTTGTTTCATCCCTGTGCAGGTCCTAGAGCTGAGCACAGCTTTAAAAGCACCACGCAACCAGGCCTGCGGTCTTTCTGGACTAACCCCCGGGCTGGCAGACCCCAAGCCCCAGGAAGGAGCAAGCAGCCCTTTTGTTTTCTCCCGCTGATTAGTCAAATTTGCGGTGTTAATCATTGACCCAGGTGCATGGCAGGGAGACCTGAGCTGCCTGGGCTGATCCCACCGGCTCCCAGCTGCAGAGGTGGCCACATTTGGGTGCAACATCCCGGCACCCCAAGGTGCCGCATAGGAAGGGGCCGGTGCGGTGCAGGGAGCACCCTGGGAGCAGGGGCTGAGCCGGGGTGGGAGCAGTGGGGACGTGGCTGCTGGTGCTGGCCAGGACAGCCCTGGCAGCGTGGGCAGGGGGGATAAACCAGATGTGCAGAAGTACCAGCCCAGTGCGGAGCAGTGAACTGGTCCTCATGGTGGCAGTGATGCAGGAGGACCAAGGCGGCTGGCTGGGAGGTTACCACCCCTCAACCCTCAGCCTGGGCCCGTGCCAAGCCGCTTGCTGTATAAAACACTTTCCGGAGCAGCTGATCAGTCTATGGTGGGCCCGGCATGGGGTGAATCCAGGGCTGTCCTGGGGTTGCAGCACCTTGGTTGCAGCACCCCGACTTGCCCCCGGCGCAGTGGCTCAGCTCCATCCCACCCGCATCCCACCCTGGCTCCCCACGCCAGGGCGGGAAGCGTGGGCAGAGGGCGTCGGGCTCTGGGCCGGCGTCCAGGGAGCCCCAGGAGCCACCGCATCGCCATCTCGCCTTTGTTTTGGAAAGCCAGGCCAGGAAGGAAGCGAGCGGTGAAAAGCGCCATGTGGGGAGGAGGGGACGGACCGGACGGGTTTCCACTGCGTAACCATTAGCCACCCATGAGCGGGGGGGGGGGGGGGGGGCGGGGGGAGCCGGCCGCCCAGGCAGGAACAGCCGCTCAGGGCAGAACAATAGCAGCCCGAGGGGAATAAATTATTTTCCACTGAATTGGGCTAGACCTCAGTCTCCTCCCACTGCCCTGCTCAGGGACCGGCCACTAGACCGGGGATTAGCCGTGCCAGCAAAGGACTGGCGGCAGCCAGGGAAAATCTCCCGCTGTGGGTGAGTGAACGGCTGGTGCCATTTCCCAAAACTTGTTTCAGCTTGAGCACGGACACGCGGGGTCTTCCCTGCCCAGCTTTAACCCATCACCATCCCGTCAGCGCCTACCGCTTGGCAGACAAAGCCCCAGCCCTGCCGAGCACCCGTGCCCTCAGCGTGGGTTTGCTTATAACCCCACAGAGAAAGGGGCAGCCCCCAAAAGCCCTTGGACTTCTGCAGGGGTTCAGCCAAGGTCAAGGTTGTGGCGGTGCTGAGCATCGTCCTGGCTGGACCTGCCCGGGGTCCCTCCCCGGGACGAGGGGCTGCTCATCCTGCCATGGCATGGAGAAGGTCCACACTGGGCCAGTGGGACGATACATGTCCTGGGGCTGGGCCCCTGCTCCCTGCCTCACCGAGGGTCTCACCAGCTCTGATCCCCTCTCCCCAGCTCATGTCCCTGCCAAGCCCTGCATGGCCCCAGCGAGAGGAGCCACCCCCCTGCGGCACCGCCACCGGCCTCCCACCAGCCTCGTCTGACAGCGACTCTGGCTGTGCCCTGGAAGAGTACCCGGAGCCCCCCGCGGACCCCGCACCCCCCGAGGTGGGCAGCGCCCCGGCTCTCGCGGGGCTCCCTTTGCTCCCTGCTCCCCCCAGCCCTGCGGGTGCCATCCACGGGCGGTACCCACAGCCCAGCACGCCCAGCCCTGGGATGAAACGCACATTTTAGCAACCTCGAGCAATGCAGCTTAATCCCCCTAAAAATCTGCTTGTGTTTCTCTCTCCTGCGCGACATCCCAAGGTCCCGGCGTGCTTTGGCACCCGCTCGCCGCAGCCTGCCTCTCCCGACGACAGGATCCGGCTCCGCACCAGAGCCCTCCTGCAGCAGCTGCCTCCTCAGGACTGCGATGTAAGACACGTATCTGTTGGGTGCTGCCCACCCTGGGCTTCACCCGCCGCGCGTCCCCTCACCTCCGCCTCCCCATGCAGGAGCGGTACTGCCCCGACCTTGCGGAGGAGGAGAGGAGGCAGCTACGAGCGTTCAGCGCCCGACGGAGACGGGAGGCCCTGGGGCAGGGGCTGGCATGTCCCGTGCCAGGTCCCTGCCATGGCTGTCCCTGCAAGAAGGTGAGGTGTCCCCTCCCCTGGCACCAGGCAGCACCCATTCCCCAGTGGGGACCCGTCCCCAGAAGCCAGCCTGACCCCAAACCCCGCGTCCCTCTGCCTTGCAGTGTGGCAGGAGGCTGAACAAAGGGGACCCAGGGATTTCGGCATCTCGGCTGGGGGACCAGTTCTGGCACCCGTCCTGCTTCTCCTGCCACTTCTGCCACCAGGCCCTGGAAGACCTGCTGCGGCCGGCACCCCCGCGGGCGCTTCCGACCCCGCTGTGCCTCCTGCGACCAGGTGGGTGCCGGGCAGGGGAGAGGCTTTTACCTTCCTTTTGCTGTTGTTAAAAGCTCCTGTGCCTGGCCGGGGGCTGCAAATGCAGCAAGCGCCGATGATGGGCAGGAGGAAAGGTTCCTTCCTGAGCTCTGCAGAGAGCCCCATGCCCGTGCCAAGGCACGGGGACTCCTCCTTTCTCCTTGGCACAGCAAAGCATCCTCCGGGCTATGAGTTTTCTAGCTGGGTGCTTAGAGGATGGGTCGTTTGCCCCCCTCCAGCTGATCTTCATGGAGGAGTGCATCGAGGCGGAGGGCCGGCGCTGGCACCTGGAGCACTTCTGCTGCCTGGAGTGTGACGTGCCCCTGCGCGGGCAGCGCTACGTGATGAAGAGCGGCCGGCCCTGCTGCTGTGGCTGCTTTGAGAGCCTCTTCGCTGAGCTGTGCCAGGCCTGCGGGGACCCCATCGGTATGGCCCCTGTCTCCCCTTCCCCGGGGCAGGGCACAGCGGGGCTTCCCTGCCCGGGCAGGTGGGACGTGGGCTGGGAGGGCTGCGGAGCCAGAGCCCCGCGGCTCGCTGCAGAGGATGGGTTTTGGCACGCGGTGGTGGGAAGAGCCTCCCCTTCATCCGCGGTTGCCCCTCAGGTGCTGACAGCGAGGAGGCCACCCACCAAGGGCTGCACTGGCATGCCCGAGCTGCCTGCTTCTGCTGCAGCCTCTGCCGAAAGCCGCTGCACGGGCAGCCCCTCACCTCCCGCCGCGGCCGGCTCTTCTGCTCCGAGACCTGCAGCCTGGGACGGGACACATCCTCCACCGCTTCCGACTCCTCCGACTCAGCTTTTGCCTCGGCCCCGTCCCCTGACTCGACGCCCCTCTCCCGAGCCGGCCCCGCCAGCAGGACGGCGCCGGGGACGGGCAGCACCTTGGCACCCGGGGACTGCAGGCAGCGGGTGGAAGGGGCAGGTAGGGATCCTGCTTCTCTGCTTGCTACATGGCGGGAGGGGAGCGGGAGGAAAACCAGGCTCTGCTCAGCCCCTGGCTACTTTATGGGGAATGGCGCACGGGTGCAGCCCAACCCAGGGCTGGAGCAGCAGCGACAACCCCCCAGCCCACCTCCCGCAGGAGGGCGAGCGCTGGCAGCTGGGGTTTGGTACCACCACCAAGGCAGCCCTGGCTGCGTGAGGGGCTGTGGCAAGGCAGGCTCAGCTTTCCCTGTCCTCACTGATCCCTGCTTGCCTTCTTCCAGAGGCATTTCTGGATCAGGCCTCCGTGCATCCAGCATTCAGGAGCCTGGAGGACCGCGGAGCAGCCGCTAAGGAGCGGAGCAGGGATGCTGCGCACGCAGGGATGCTGGGACCACCGGCCGGACACCCCTCTGGCAGCCAGCCCAGTGCAGGGGGTCCCAGTGGGCCTGGAGCCCCCAGCCACCTGGTTTTGGGGGGCCCTGACCCCCGAACACCCGCAGGCAATGGAAACCCACACTTTCGAGCGGGCATAGCCCCTGCCCAACACAGCGCACAGCCGGAGGACATTGACCTGCAGGACATCACGGAGGAGGATGACTCCTGGTGTCCCACCTGCTCTTCATCTTCGGACTCGGACGAAGAGGGTTTCTTCTTTGGGAAGCCCATCCCCAAGCCGGGGATGAGTTCCCTGGGCAGGGAGCCCGTGGGGAGGGCTGGGGGCAGGACGGCGAAGCCACGGGGCAGCAGCAAGCACTGCAGCGTGTCCTAGCAGCGGGGACTGGGGGTCCTCGACCAGCACTGCTGTCCTGCCAGCCCCTGCCGGGTCCTGCCAGCCCCTGCCATGGTCTCAACATGCTCCAAGCACGTTTTGGATGCGGCCCAAGGCTGGTGGGGAGAAGCTGCTGGGATCCTTCCCCCCGGCAGCTGCTGGCAAAGCACAGCCTGCAATTCCTGCCAGCCTCTCCCGCAATTAGGAACAGGTAAAGCAGGTAGGGAGCTGAGAGCCGGCAGCTCGCACCAGGGCTCCCATCTCCGACGAGGCGGCAGCGCTGGAGAGCGGCCGCGCACAGGGGAGGGTGGAGGGGTGCTTAAGACAAGGGCAGCTGCCTGCATCGCCCCGCTGCGGGGCTGCTGCTGGGGCCCCATAGGGACAGGAGGGGTGCTGGGTGCCAGGGCTGGATCCTTCCCGGGGACACCTCCTTGAAGGATGACCGCCACTGCCAGATGCTCTCCATCCCTGGTGGCACCCTGTCCCCCTGCCACCACGGGGAGAGGATGAGGGGGGCAGCTCTGCTGCTGCCGATGACGATGCTCCAATAAAGTTCAGCTGAAATCTGAACGCAGGAGAGCCACCACACATCTGCCCCGTTCCTCCCCGCCCCAGGGTCACTGCGGTACTGACCATGCCACCAGAGCAGCGTGATCCCCAGGGGTGGCCCCTGCCCTCTGCCACAGCCGGGGCCCCCACGGTGGGTTCACTGCGGGACCCCTACCTCACCTGCCCCAGGAGAGCAGGGCCAGAGCGATGGCAGAGCAAGGGCTGCAAAGATCACAGCTGGTTTATTTTTAGATTTAAAACCAATGGAGCGAGGAGCTGGGGCAGAGGGGACCCCCCCCCAGCCACTCTCCCTCCCACCACCCTCCAGTAAAACCAGCTCCCCCTTTTACTGCACATACAGGTCTGGGCAGGGCTAAAACTAAGCACCCCCCCTCCTCCATCTCCAAGAGAGATTGTGGGACGGTGCCAACACATCCATACCACCTTGACCCAAGGGCTCAGCACCATCACCAGCACCCCAATGCACTGGAACAGCCCCCCATCACCCCCCAACCCTGCTGGCAAGAAGGGGTGTCCAGCCGCTCCCCCCGCTCCCCCCTCAGCGGCTGAGGGTGGCTGAGTCGTAGCTGTTGATGAAGTCCTCCAGCTCCTGGAGGTGATGGATCCGGCCCTGGCGGAGGTTGGCCCTCAGCGCCAGCCCCAGCGCCGCCTCCATGGAGGGCTCCTTCTGCAGCAGCATCGTGGCCACCACCGCGATGGTCAGGCTGAACTGCTGGTACGACTGCAGGGGAGCGGCATGTGGTCAGCATGGGGCATCCCAAAACCTCCCTTGGCCAGGGGCCACCGGGACTCACCAGCTCGATCTCCTCCTTCCTGGCGAGGACGGCGGCAGAGCGGAGGTCCGTGCTGGGCAGGGAGGACATCGGGAGCACGGAGCAGAGCTGGCGCTGGCCGCCTGCAGCCTGGGCAGTGGAAGAGGCGAGGAAGGGTCAGATGCTTCAAAGGGGAGAGGGACTGGGCAAGGCTGGGGCCAAACTGGGGCTGCTGGCACCAACTGCCAGCCAGGAACCGGTCACCCTGCTGGGGGACCCGCTGGGACCCTGGCTCCCCGGGGTGCTAGTTTGCCACCCTTCCCTCGGGTGCGGAAGCCCCCTGCCCCCCCCAACCCCAGCCCTGGCAGCATCGCCGCCGAGAGCCCCGCTAGCAGATTTCTCTTCCCCATCAGGCAGTAATTAAGCCACTCTGCAATGCTCTCGTTTGCTTCGTTAAAGCTCGAGTCCCAGGGTCGTTCACGCTCCAGCACGCTCTCAAGCCTCTAGTTATGTTTTTGGCCTTTCTCCCAGCTGTCCCCCGTTTATCGGCATCTCCGGCGCAGCCAGCACCGGGGCTGACACGGGCTCTGCCTCCAGACAAAGCAGCGCTTTAACAGCAGCCCGTAATCCTGCAAGCGGAGAGGCCAGAGGGATCCCACTGCTCCTGGGCTATGGCAGCATCCCGGAGCCCAGGGCAGCCGCCCTGCGTGGGGACGCCTCAGGGTGAGCGCGAGGGAGCGGAGGCACCCTGACCCCGTACCGGCTTCGCTTCACCGGCCCCAGGAGGGTGCTGGGACCCTGGTGAGGTCTCTGGTGCGGTGCGGATATCGGAGCAAACCTGGCTGGGCTGTGCGTCAGGCTCTGTGGCAGCTCCTGATGGGACCTGTGAGGTTTTGGATGGCTGAAGGCCACCTAGAAGCTGTGGGAGAGAAAGTGGCTGGGGAAGGAAGGCAGCAGCCGTGCAGGAGTGGGGGAGCCAGCGCTGCCAGCACGTCCCTGCCCGCAGCAGTGGCCTCGGTGGGCTCTCCCCAGGGCGGGACGTGCCATGGAGCTGCCCACCACGCTCCGACACCCACCCCATCGCAGGCAGCTTCTGCCTCGGCTTCTCCAGCTCCACTCGGCTGACGCTGCCGGCCCCGGGAACACAGGCAGAGCTCAGCACCCACCTCTCCAGCGGAGCCGGCTGCCGTGCGGACCCTCTTGGCAGGCTCCGGAGGGGCTGTTGGACTGTGAGGACGTGACCTGCCACCTGCGCCAGCCTCAGGGACGCTTTGGCTGCATGGCTCTACCTGTGCAAAGCATTACAGATGCATTGCAGAGCCTATGGCGAGGGCTGGCCACGCCACGCAGGCAAGGGGAAAAACGAGGTTTGCAAAGGGGACTGCAAGCTCCCACCTCCCCCCGGGGACTCCTTTTAGGAGGGCAGAGGAGATGCATTAGCTTGTACCTCCAGGTGCTCCTCCGTCCCGGCAGAGCTCTCCTCCGGCGGCACCGGCTCTGTTTCCAAAGCAGAGGGGCCCTGGCCGTGGCTGCCCGCAGGTTTCTGCCTGGCTCCCAGCTCAACCTGGGGACACACAACGGCATGAAACCGGGCCACATCTGGCCTGGGGAGAAGAGCTGGGGGACAGGATGATGCTAAAACCCAAAGGAAACCAGGGGGCTTTGCAGCCCCAGAGAAGTGTCAGGAAAATGCCTGTGCCTGGCAAAGAGACAGCGAGGCGAAGAGCCAAAGGGCTGGATGAGAGAGAAGGGAGATGTTGCACTGGCCGAAGAGACCCCCGAGCCGGGCGCCCCCAGGGGTGCGAGCAGCCCTGCCTGCCCCCAGGAGAGGGGTGCTCTCCTACCGGCGTCGCTCCTGCTGCCGGCTCCGGCTCCGCGGCCTCTGCTGCAGCCTGGGGATCAGTGGCCGGGCTCTTCTGAGGGGTGCCGGCCGATCGGGGGGGCTCCAGGACCTTCCTGCTCACCGCCAGCGGGCTCTGGGGGAAACCATGCTGGTTGGGGGCACAGCAGCACCGTGCAGGGCTCAGACCGTGCAAACTCGTGTCACTGCTGGGTGCTGGGATCGGGGGGGTAAAAACCCACAACCTGAGCCGTCTGCTCCTTGCTCTGCGCACCACCTTGGAAGGACATAAGTGACTGGGGAGGATCAGGGTGCCGCTGCTCTTTTTTGATCCGGGGGCCGGGGCCGGGCAGCTGGCTCATCCCAGAGAGGGAAGGAGAGGACCTGGAGGATGGCTGATTCCCTGCAGAGCGAGAAACACAACGGGAGTGACTCCTTTCTCTGCCCGAGGAGACGCTGGCAAGTACTGCAGAGACGCTGGCGAGCATGGCGTGGGGCCCCTCGCAGCCCCGGCAGCCGGGACAGGGTCGGCACAAACCTCTGGAGGGCCAGGGACACGGGACGCGCTGGACCAAGGTTAACTCTCGGTGGCCACGGTGAGGGCGTCGGCAGCGTTTCCCACCCAGGCCACGATAGCCCCAGGACAGGCGGTCATCCTGGAAGCCACCTCGCTCCCTGCAGTGGCAAAGGCAGCCCCAGGGGGGGATTTAGGCTGGAAGGGGTCTCCGGTGCAAACCCCCCCACCCTGAGCAGGGCCAGCTTCAACGCTGCATCACCCCTTGGCTGTGCACCGGGGCAGAGCCTGGCCCCCGCGCCCCTGCTCGCCACCCCGCAGCTGCACGGACCCCCGTGCCCCTCGCCACGGACACCCACCCTGGCAGGCTGGCGGGGGGCCGGGGTGGGTGCCGCTCCTCATCGGGGAATTCAAGCCAGGCAAAGCAGCCGGGGCCGGGCAGCGGCGGCTCCCGGGGGGAAGGGGGTGGGTTTAGACACGGAGCAGGACAGGGGATGTTGTGACTGCAGATCAGAGAAGCTGAGCTGCCGCTGCTCCCAGCACCGTGCAGGGAAACTTGTCCCTGTGCACTGTCCTTGTCACCAGGGCAGCGAATGGCTCCTGCCACTTCACCCGATCCCTGCCCTCGGTCCCGCGGGCGCTGCCACCCCCCCGGCCCACCACCCCCTCACCAGTTGCCAGGCCTCCCCCAAGAAGTCCCCAGGTCCTCGGTTGTCTTCTCTGTCATCCCAAGGGTGGGGTGGGGGACAGTCGCGGGGTGCCCATCTCCTGTCCTCCTTGGTCCAGGGGAAGTCGGCAGGGCCAGGGAAGGGTCTGGGGTCCCAGAGACCGGGCTGCAATGGCAGATCACCGCCGGTGAGGATGGTGGCACGCTGCGGGTAGCCACGCAGCTGCCACCCCCCAGCCCACCACCCCCTCACCGAGCGCCAGCCCTCTTCGAAGCAGTCCTCAGGTCCTCGGCCATCTCCTCCGTTGTCCCAGGGGGGCGGCGGGGGACACTCGTGGGGTGCCCATCTCCTGTCCTCCTCATTCCCATGGAAGTCAGCAGGGCCAGGGAAGGGTCTGGGGTCCCAGGGACAGGGCTGCAACAGCAGATCACCGCCGGTGAGGACGGCAGCTCGCTGGGGTGTTTCGGTTTTGCTGCGGTTCCTCTTCCCTGCCACAGCCCTCAGCTCTTTCTGCTTCTCCTGCTCCCAGGGGAGCCTCAGTTTTGGCCACCCCAGATTTGTAGGTGAACCCTGACAGTGCCGCCTCCCCTCGCTGAATGGCTGCTCATCCCGGCCCCTGCCCTCTTACCGGCCGCCATCTGCCTCTGCCTCTCCCG